CTCTTATACACATCTAGATGTGTATAAGAGACAGCACCCCGACTTACCACCACGGCAATGGCGACGGCGACGGTGACCCCGGCAACAACGGCAATGGCGATGGCGACCCCTCCGTGGCAACGGTGATGATGAACCACGACCGGAATGGCGACGAGGATGGCGACCCCTCCGTGGCGACGACAGCCTGGACACGGTGCGTGGCGTTGTGGGAGGCAGCAGTGTGGGCTCCAAGGCAGGGCGGGGGGTAGACTGTCCCGCCACAATTTCAAAATTCGCATGTCCTCCCCCCCGCCCTGCCTTGCAGCCTGGCTATTGCTGCACCCACCTAAACCCCGCTGCAACCCCCGAAGCCGAAAACGCCAAAAAAGGCTTGGTATAGACCCCCTTGCAGCTACGTACGCGGAGCGTTTGTTGACGTATGCGCGCACACGTACGCGGTACGTATGCTCGCACATGCATACGTGTACGCGTGCGCGTGGGGGCCGCGTACATGTACGCCGCGCAACATAGGTAAGCGGGGTACAAATGGGTAATTTACTGAGAAGACATGAACTATTGTTTGCCCGGATTTAACTTGGGGTTGGTGAGAGTACTTACCTTCGTGGTTTGGCCAGCATGTGACTGAGTGAGGCTACTACTTAGTCTGAGCTTCAGTTTGATAGGTAGTTGCTTTAGTCGCTCGCCACGTGCTAGAGCCATAGGAGTTAATTTCAATCCCTGCATTTTCTGAGCTATGTTTTTTTTACTTAGATCAATTCTCGCATTTTCTGGGATCTTTTATTATACTTGGCTTTGTATAAATTTTGGCAAGCTACTTTCTTTACGGGAAGCGCTTCCAAAGTTCAACTTTTCTAAAGTTTATATATGACTTAGTAAAAATTTGGAAAGTTTCCTTTTCTAAAGGGAGTGCTGCCGAATTTTTTGCTAAATCAGGGAGTTGGACAAAATTGGACTTTGGAAAGTTAAAGCCTATTTCTGGTTTCATATTCGGGCTGATATAAATTCTGGAAAGACACTTTTCCTACGGGAAGCGCTGCCGAAATTTTCTTAGTTCAAAGGAGGTAGATTATATTTTGACAGGTGGCAATTTTGGCGATCCACTCTGTATGGGGGAGATTATGCCAGGGTCTACCTTTGCTTTGGGCACTGCTTAAAGATAGATTCAGGCCTAGTGAGTTCGGATGATTTGAGTGAAAATGTGTTATGGAGTTGTATTCTCCATACACTTATGATTTTAGTTTGGGGATTGGCCTGTCATGTGTTACAGGTTCTCTTGATCGATTGATTCAGGATTTGAATTAGTTTCAACTTGATCCTACAAGGATAATTTTTTGTTATCACTGATAACAGGTCGGTCACCGATTCGTCGGTTTGCGATTCAACTCCAATCCACTCTTGCCACTCAACCTAAAGGCTTTAGCCCTGTGGTTTGACTTGTTTCATTGCGTTTTCACCTGGACTTTATTGAATGGTCATTTAACAAAAGTACTGAGTATTTATTTTGGGGAGTTGCACAAGAGTGAGGTTTGTATGGCTAAAGCAAGAGGTATGAGCATAGAGAATGGTTGAAGTTGACCCCGTGTAGTGCGTGGACTTTTGTTGAATCTTTAATGTGATTGCAGGTATGCTTGTGGTCCGGACTCTGGATGAGACTGCCTGCGATTACATACATATATGGCTGAGAGGAATCCCACTGTGACTGTGAGAAGTGATCGTCCTATATAAATAAGCCTTATGTATATATCTATATGTGCCTTGGGTATGCGCGCGACTACTGTGATCGTGCGCAAAGGTTAACCAGATTATGGTTTGAGAGGAAAGGGGGACCCTCTTTTATTCTTTGCTTTTTAGGACTTTATGGTTGGATGTTGTAGTCCGTGGCAACCGTCAAAGTCAAACCCCTTGACTTCTATCCAGGCCTGGAGTGGGGCTCATCTCTAGGGCAGTAAGAAACGACCGCCACCGCAGGTGTGGACCTGTGTACCACCCACTCTCCACAGGGTGCAAAAGAGGGTGTGTGGTCTTCAACCGCGCATAGCGGTTGTCCTGCGTCGAGAGATTAACCCTCAAAGCGCGTGTCAGCCAACACTTGAGTGTCGAATGCGACCCTCGAGGTTAACGAGGACCGCATGAGTATGGGTACTACATTGTACGCCATCATTGCGACTGCTTGCGTATGCTTGCATTGCGAATCAGTATGAATTAGCCCTGCATCCGCGCGGTTTTATACTAAGTCTCTCGCGCGACGCCTATCCGATTTCCGCATCGGAAAGTTATGGGATAGCTACTGAAGGGACTAGAAGTGTGGTCGCGTTGTTTGATGTATGTGTGTGTGTGTGGTTTATTTTTTGTGTTCGTAGAGTGGTGTGCGCGTGGTGTGTGGGATGCGTCCTAGTCGACCGACGCCGAGTCGCGCTTGGGACCTCAGCCCCCCAAGATGTCGGCTCACGTACGGTATCGATAGAGCCGTATTACTGCGCGTACCCCCTATGCTACAGCGAACGAGAAACACCCTCGGCTGGTCCACCTCTGCCATTGCAACTGATCAGCTTTCGTACTGTGGACTGGTAGCTCGGAGGGGATACGCCCACCGAAGGGAGGTGACAGCTCCCGTAAGGTGGAGGTAAGTCGTGCCTCGCGTAGGCCCTATCCTGTCGTAGGGGCTCGCGGGAGGTATGGATGGCGCACTCGGTCGGAGCGGCTTGCGGAAGCTCCATGTATATTCGCGACGAGGAAGATAGACCAACTCCTGCGTGACGCGGCCGGGAGGGTCCCGCGCTGCCTTGTGCGGTGTCGGACCGATGCGCTCGACAATGGCGTTATGTTGAGCGAACGTTTGACCATCTGCGCGTGCCACCATGAAGAACGAAGAATATGCCACGTGCAAAGTTAGATGACATCCTACCCTTAAGACGCAATGTCGATGAGCAGATGGCGGATGGTAGGATGTGCACCACGACGTTGCCTAAGTTTGCGTGCACATTGATCGATCCGCAGCATCAATGACCCGTATTGATTATTTGAGTCTTTATCTGACTACATGATCGCTACACACCTTTCAGCAAGAGGCTTGCTTTTACTCCACAAACCCTCATCCCTTCAGTAGCCTGTGGACGTGCACCAGATTCAGGCCCACGATACAACCCCTGGGCTTGTGATCAAGGAGACCTTTTGTCCCGGACCTATGTTGAGCCTGCATCCCTGATCTGGGCCTGACAAATAGACAGACTCACAGCCTGCCTGCCTGCCTGCAGGCCACGGCCAGGTCGATGTCCATACAACCCCACACGCAGACCGAGGTCCTGCCTTCGTGCGTCCAAATGTCCAACCACAGGTCCAAGCCCAAGTCCGACCCTACATAAACCTGAAAACAACATCGGGCCCAGACCCAGGTCAACAAGGGTGCAAGCTCACACCAGCGCCAGGTCAACGTGTGGGACTGGGAATGGGCTAGAACTTAGACCTCCGCTTTGAGAACAAGCTAAGCGCCCACGGTGCGGGCGGTGAGGGCCATGCCCACAAAAATAAGAAATGTCGTAGACAACCTGACATGGAGCGTTCGCATAAACTGAGACAGACTTAAAAAAAAAAAAAAAAAAACGAATCATAGGGCAATAAAGAATAGCTTAAAACTGGCTACGAAATCCGACTTTAATTCACGAATTAAAAAAATTAAAAAAAAAACAAAACAAAGCAAGAGAAAGGGCAAGGAGAGAAATCCCCTAGAACTTGGACCTCCGCTACGAAGTAAAATTTGTTTTGAATTTAGGTTACTTAGCACCAGGTCAACATGTGCGACTGGGGATGGGCTAGAACTTGGACCTTCGCTTTGAAAGGGAAAAAAAAAAAAGGTGTGAGAGTCTGCGTGCCTGTGTGCCTACGTGTCTGTCTGTGTGTCTGCCTGCGTGTCTGTCTGCCTGTGTCTGCCTACGTGTCTGTCTACCTGTCTGCCTGCCTCTCTGCCTGCGTGCCTGTCTGTCTGTCTGCCTGCCTCTCTGCTTGCATGCCTGTCTGCATGTTTGCCCGCCTCTCTGCCTGCATGCCTGTCTGCCTGTCTGCCTGTCTGCCTGCTTGCCTCACAGACAGACACACATATACATAGACAGAGAGACACGCAAGCAGACACGGAGGCAGACAGAACGATAGGCAGACAATCATGCCTGTCTGCCTGCCTGCCTGTGAGTCTATCTGCCTGCCTCTCTGCCTACGTGCCTGTTTGCCTGCTTGCCTGCTTGCCTGTCTGTATGCCTGCCTATCTGTCTACCTATCTCCCTGTGTGTTGGACTGGATATGGGCTGGAGCTAGGACCACCGCCAGGTCATCGGGGCTGCAGGCGCAGAACAGCGCCAGGTCAACGTGTGGGACAGAACATGGGCTGGAGCTTGAACCTCGACTTTGAAAGGGGAAAAAAAAATTGTCAGAGCCTGCGTGCCTGTGTGTCTGCCTGCGTGTCTGTCTGCGTGCCTATTTCCCTGTGTTTACCTACGTGTCTGTCTGCCTGTCTGCCTGCCTCTCTGCCTGCATGTCTGTCTATTTGTCTACCTGCCTCTCTACTTGCATGTCTGTCTGCCTGTTTGCCTGCCTCTCTGCCTGCATGCCACACAGACACACACACACACACACACACACACACACACACACACACACACACACACACACAGACACATAGGCAGACACGGAGGCAGACAGGGCAATAGGCAGACTGACACGCATGTCTGCCTGTCTGCCTATGTGTTTGTCTGGCTGTCTGCCTGCCTCTCTGCCTATGTGCCTGTCTGCCTGCCTGCCTGTCTGTCTGCCT